TGTGACTAATACGACTTACGATGGTTAATATTCAGTAAATTTTCGAATGCAGATTTAGAGACTTCAGTATTTGTCCATTTGAAAATATATACATATCGAAATGTATGATGTTAATTCACTCAGTTATTCAACTCTATCAAATCATTCATTGTGAAACTGACAGTTGTATCTAACTAATTAATGCGTGTTCTTATTTAATAATGAATATGTTTAATAAAAACTTTCTGAAGTATTAATGAGCATTAAAGTTAGTCACATAATAATTCATATGATAGTTTGGATGGTGCACTACATTTTCCCACAAATTTTTAATATGCGTAAATAAAATAATTTAATTAGTGAATGAAACGTATGAACATGACAATATATTTGCACTTCTTTTTGATCGTATCACTTTTTCTAGAATTTCGTCTCAGTGACTCACCGCTGCCAACACCACAGCTGTGTCCCGTCCCGCGAATTCCATAATCTATCCCGCCCCTTTCGCGTGTTTTCCACTCAGCTATTGTTGAGACGAGATCCCTCTCCGGTTGTCCAAGGTGTTCCATAGACCCGTCATCTAGGCTAGTATTACCCGCGCAAATTTCCTTGAGCCCTGATTTCGCTAGATGCGAGAAGAGGGGAGGGGAGTAATTTCGCCAAAAGACTATTATATCAAATCTGTAGCTCTTGTTTCGGTGCAAAATAGTTTCTATTACACCAAAGTGAACATGTTTGGTTATCAGAGTTTGTCAACAACGCTCATTTCTATCATTATTCTTAATTCAACTAATGTTATAGAAAGTGACGGTAAGCATTCATCTTACGAAAAAATGCACGTACAATACAGTGCGTCAGGAAAGTCTCTCCACACCGAAACTAGCTACTGTCAAAAGTCCTGCCATCGTCGGAACTCGAACCATAGGACCTCTCGGTCAGAGGCACTGCAGTGACAACAGCTGTTGCCTAGAGCCAGCTCAGCTTATGACAAATCTTAAAACGGATAATTATTTATTGAAGATAATTTTACCACTCCTCTTACATGCTCTTCCTCGTCCGTCCGATCCCCCGCCACGCCTCTCATCCACACTTTCTACCTCTCATCATATCAACTCTACTGTCCTCCCTGCTTCCATTCTGTGCAACCTCTCCCGGTGCAACCCCCCTACTTGCGCCTCCACTGTCATCCCCGCTGCCATTTTCCTTGCCGCTTATCCTCTTCCACTGTACGTCCCATTTTCACCTCCGCTCCTGCCGGGCCGCACTTGCATCCGGCTGCACCACCGTTACCTCTCGTATTTCCCCGATTTCACAGGCTCCGCCTTTGCGTCTCTTTCCTTGCTACCGCCCTTTTCCACTCGCATCCGTCACCGTTCTCTTCGCAGCTGCCGCCCGCCCCGCCGTCCGCCATTTCCCCGCCCTCTCGCCTCCGGTCCGACTTCTTCTCCACCTCCGTTCTCTCACACTCCCTCTTCAGCATCTGTCGAGTCCCAGTTACCGCTCTTGTCCCTCGACCCAGTCCCGCCCACTCTCGACCCAGTTCCGTTCCCATTCCTCTTGGCATCGTAATCTTGGGCGCTTATTCCCGTCCAGGGCAACTCCTCTGTTTTCTCTTACATTTTGTCCCATCACTTCCGTCTACCTCCTTTCTCGCCGCTTATTGTCATCTTCCTTTCTCACCATTTTCCAGCTGTCGCCCCGGCTCCCCTCCCCCTCGTCCCTACTCCAACTCCGCCCACAATTCTGCCCGCCTGCTCTCCCCCCTCCCTCCTCGCGCCCAGCCAGCGGCGACATTGCTCTGCGTCAGCGGGCGATCGCGCGTGGCGCGTTCTGGCGGGGGGCGGCGGAGGCGACGACCTCCGCGCGAGACGCCCCGCTGCCGGGCTGGATCGCGGTTACGGCGCCGCTTCAGCGGGGGGAGGGGGGGAAGCGCGCGCGGCGCCCGACAGAGACGGAGGGAGGGAGAGAGAGAAGGAAATGCAGTTATTGCCAAAGGAAAAATTTACGACCTGAGACCAACGCATTACCTGATGCTGGCGTATTTTTAAAGGTCTGCGACAATTTATATAATGTAACAGACGCGTGAAAATATGGCTAAGGGTTTATAACGTTATAAGTATGGTCATTCTACATAACTGTATATTTTGAAAATTATATTTTAAATTGTAAATGAAAATGTTGCAGGTAATTTCAGTCTTCTAGTGGGATTATAAATTATTTATTCTAACGTTTTCGAAACATAGTCTTGGAATGATTTTACTATTATCTATCAGAATGAGTTAATAACTACGGAGTAATCCCTTACAATAAAAAAATTACCAAGTGCAAATTAGTTACGGTACAAATACAATTGACCATCACTGTTTGTCACATATTCATTTATTATCTCTGTTGTAATTTCTTTCAGTAAAATTCAACTATTAAGCATACTAAAATTTCATCCTTTAACATTTATCTAAACGCCAAAAAAGGTCCTTAACAGGAAAGTATGTAACTATTAACTCAATAACATTGTAATGCGTAGTAAATATTGAAACTAATAATGACTTTTCTAAATTTCTATTCATTTAATGAATATAAACCGAAATGAGTAATAATATATTACATAAAACTAAAACCAAGAGTGTCAGGTTTTACATTATACGTTTAATCACAATAGTGTGTCATGTAAGATTTAATTAATATAACATTTTCCAAATCCAGGGAACCCAGTATAAAAATGATTATCCTATATTGTCAACATGTGACGAAGTAGAAATCACAGAAAAACTCACCTTGGAATGCTGGTAAACGTGTGGATGATCCGCCTTTCAAATTCGTATGTTCATCGATGTATTACCGTCAACTAGAACTTTCTAAAAGAACTCAAAGCACGAGCACTTCAGAAAAAAGAAAAGATGAACCCGCTCAAAAAGATCACAAACCCAGCCTAGTGTTTGATACACAAGAATTTAAACCTCAGGTTTATTCGCGTTCGCCGATCAGCTTTGTACGCCAGCGGTGCGGTTGCTGGCCGTTACAAGCACCGTCTGACCCTGAATTGCAGAAGGGAGTCTCCGGCTTCTTACTGCATTTACGCTCGGCAAGGATAATCCACTGCGGTGTCTGAATAACCAAAGAGAAACCATTGGCGCGCTTTTTGAATGGTAATTGTGCAGCAACCTTGTGAATGAGAATCTTAGAACGGGACGTGCTACATTCTCTCAATGGCCCCTCACCTCTACATTCGTGACCAAATAATAGATTTTGGCTGCATGTCCTCTGTCTGGATTTATAGCTCAAAATTAGATGTGTTTTAAAGTTAGATGTTTTAAAGTGTTCCCCCTCCTTTTTCTTCCAAGTTTATTCAGGAACTGTTCTTTGCCGCTTGAAGTATATCATCCTCGTTCTTTTCCTGTTTGCCCGATCGTTGGCACACCTTTCTTATTCTTTTTTTCTCTTTCTCTCACAAATCAATCCTCCAAGTATTGTGAACCATATTTTATTTACTATCTTCAGTTTCGTCCGACTAGTTATTTTTGCGGTTCCAAGCAATGTATATTTTACTGCGACGATCCTTCGTAGTGCATCTCGCCTATTTTATAAAATTTAACATTTATGATGGGAAATATTTAAAATGACAACAATAATTTTTGCCATTTCGTTCAGTCATGAAACGTATGTTTCATACGTAAAAGGATCCACTCTAAATATTTCTAATACCAATAAGCTTGCAACTAGTCAACAACATTTATATTACACGTACATTTCAATACACTAATAATAATAACAATAATAATACTACTAATAATAATAACAGATAAAATTTACAATTATTAAATTACATGATAAAACTCTGTCGTTCACAATGTTTCGACCCTAGTATAAAGGTCTTCAAGTACAATCTGAAATATAAGAAAAACTACTATGTAACAATATAACTAATAACAAATCATGGAAGTTATTTGTTCATAAAAAGAGGGGAGTTACCTCAATATGGCAGCACAAAGTTCATATAAGATATGACATCAAAATAGAGTCATCATCCAGCCATAGTATCATCAGGATAGATTGGTGATTTAGTAGAAACTAATAATATGGATGCTAAGCAATTAACAAGATGTAACTTATTGTTCGCACAACATGACAATACGGTCAACAATACACGAACTTAAAAGGTAGTAGTTAAAGTGCGACATCAACTACATACTCGTAAGATATGAATCATACTGTCGGGACGGGGTGGGACTAGAAGGGATGTGATGGCACGGGATGGATGTGACAGGACGGGGTGAATATGGCAGGATGGAATGGATTTGGCAGGGCGGGATGGATGTGGCAGGACGGGATGGATGTGGCAGGACGGGATGTGGCAGGACGAGATATGGCAGGACGGGATGAGGCAGGACGGGATGGATGTGGCAGGACGGGATGGATGTGGCAGGACGGGATGGATGTGGCAGGACGGGATGCCGCAGGAGGGAGCGGGGGATGACGGGGGAGGAGGAGGAGGGAGAGGTCCGGGTGGAGTAAGTTGGTGCGTGGCAGGACAGAGTTCACTATAGATATAACTTCATTGATTTTCTTGCCTCGTAGAAGATTGTGACAAATAAAAACCTCAAGAAGTATAACAATAAAACGAGCTCTTCCCTTCATGGATCCTACGCACGTAGTGCAATCGGCTACGACACGGCGAAGCTTTCGTAAGCAGCGGCGGCGCCAAGCGCTGCTCACCCAACTTTTACTCCGTCGTTAAGTTTCGGCCGTGCGCCCACCCACCGCCCACGCCCCTGCGCAGTAATAAAGTGCTGGCGGGCAACCGGTGAAGGCGGGGCGACATACCTTGGGGAAGACAGGCACGGGGAGTAGACGGGCGGCCAAGAACGGAGCGGGTCGGAGCGGAGCCGGGCAGAGGGTGGGACGGAGCGAAGCGAGTGGCCGAGGCGGGGGGCGTCGGAGCGAGACGGATCAGGACAAAAGGGGCGTGGCCGTACAGGGCGGCACCGAGCAAACAGGTTTGCGTGGATGTACGTGGGCTGGAAGGGCAGAGTGGAACGGGGAGAGGACCGAGTCGAGGACAAAACGAATCGGATGAGAGGGGCTGGACATAGCGAGATGGCTGGCAAAGCTGGTCGGGTCGGGAGAGGACGAGGCAAAACGTGGAAAGGCGGAGTGGAATTGGTCGGAACGGTGCGCGCTCTGGCAAGAGTGGAAACAGCCGAACCGCGAAAGAAGGAAGAGGTACAGAACAGGGCAGGAGGGGCATGGGGCGGGAACGGGAGAAACAGGAAGGGGGGGAAGTGTTGTGAAATGGGAGGGGAAGGCGGGTCGGGAGAGGGCAGGCATGAAATATCGTAGTGCGCGCCGGGGTTATAGCGGGTGGCGAGGGCCGCTTCCTGCTTTGACGGGTCGAAGTCGAGGATATTTCAGGGCGCCACGTGGAGCTTGCCTCTGATGGGAGCAAAGGTTCTCTTTCTTCGTCTTCTGATTGTCGTGCAGATTCTTTTCTGTAGATGGTTTTCGTAGGGATCTGCAACGAAAAATAAGTCAAATATTAATATAAAACTAGTAATACAACAAGGTTTACGGAATCACTCAGTAATGTTACTCCATTCCAATCTATTAATTCAACAATACGTAGAACCTTAAGTTTTGTATTTTACAAGCGAAATAATTTTATCTTATTTTTTCGTACCAATATTACTTTTGAAATGTATGAACATGTAGTTTTCTCATAGATGTGTTTGAAAATTGACATAATATATAAAAGTGACATAATAAATTAACATAAAAATATTTCGAATAAGAACGTACATTTTTATTAAAATCTATTGACCTTAGATTTTTCAAAATTTTGTACCTGGAGAGTACTTGAGGTGAAATTTTTAAATGATGGCACTCATTCTAACACAGAAGGCGAAGCAAGCAATGAAGCTAAAATTAACGCAGAGCGGGTCAGGGCGAAACATGTGTGTATGTGGAACGGAGCATGAGAGGTAGGGGAATTGGGGGAGGGGCAAACGAAAAATGCGGGGGGAGGTTTGATTGAGTAATTAGAGATTCCGGACACGTCAACTGCTAAGGACATTATTCCCCGACATACAGTGCATGTGTTTTTTCTCAAAAGGTGACGGTGATCATCTCCCGCTGTATGGGAGATCCAGCGCCGGATTTTCCCAACCAGGTATCTCTCACCAGCTGGGCACGGACCCCCTAGGACCATCTCTAAGCTCCAACCGCTCTCCCGGCCTGTGTGGTAGTGCAGCGTATGCAAGTGAAGATCATGTAAGGCAGGGTGAAGATAGAACAAGAAAGGGAATAAATAACGCGCACGGTCCGTGGCCCGATTGTTAGAGCACTGGTCACGAATTCGTCTGGTTTAGTCGGAGAAACCACGGAAAACTACCAATCAGAGCAGCTGGCCGACAGAATTCTCCCCCAGATTGCAACTGAATTCGATCTAGTTATCTAGCTAGTAGCCGATCCGGTGTAAGCCGGTCCGCTAAGGCAGTAGTGCCGTAGCGATCTCGTACCGAAAGATCGCGGGTTCGAGTCCCGCCTCGGGCATGGTTGTATTGTGTTCGTCCTTTCACCCCTTATCATCATCATCATCATCATCATATCAGGGAAGGCAACGGGAAACCACCCTGAATAATTTATCCCAAGAAAACCCGTTATGGGTCACCTAACTTCCGTATATGGAAGATAGGACCAAAGAAGAGATCTAACTAGTGTCTACAATCCTGCCACCGTCGGGACTCGAGTCTAGGATCTTCTGGTCAGAGACAAAGCCGTGTTATCAGTTGATGCTCTGAGCCAATTCCCACGGCGTCGTGGTAGGAGTAGAAAGAAGGTGGTGGTTGGTAGAGCGAAGCGGTGGCAGTAAGGCGTTCGTGGCGCCGCGTCGCGGTGGCGTCCCTCACCTCGTAAATCAAACTATGGCCGAGCGATTGCGGCGGTTGCCGAGGTTCAGAGGCGACGAGACCGTATATTTCGAGACAGAGGTCGCAATAAAAGGTGAGGTGAGGTGTGGGCGCCATTAAGGCAGGAGTGGAGGGGCTGATCCGAGATAAAGCAGGAGAAAGGAGGGCGATCATTTCCCGCAAGGCTCTCGCCGCTGTGCGACCGCGATGAAGTCGAGACGACGCCCTCTCAGCCCCGCGATCGAACCCCGAAATCCCCTGGGATGCACTCGGCAGACATGGTTCCGTGAATGGAATCAGAAAGGTGGGCATGTCTGTATTTTTCACACGAGGGAATGGGAATATATACGAATTTCTCAGAATAAATATTATATACTTCTATAGCATGTAGAGGGGTCGAAAATGTGTGTCAATTGACATACTATAGTGGAGAAATGCATATAACGGACTTGACCTGCTCCTGACTGTTAGACAACTCCGTAAGTGCAGGTATTGGGTAGCTTCATGATATTTCCTTGAGTGGGGCCAAACAATCAGTCGAAACAGTCACAGTGTATAACTTAGTTATACGCAATTTCCTATTATACTCGTATAGTCATTGGCAAAACGTGAATATTCTTGACTCATCTGTATGCCCTAGAGGTTTGCAACATTCTTTCTGAGAACTTGTATTTCTAAACTTTCTAGAAATCATATATTTAAAAAAAATATTTACAACTAATAAGAGACGTAATACGCTACGCAAAGTAAAAAATAAGGTGCAATGAAAAGAAATAAAGTATTTAAAATGTCAATTTCCGGTAATGAATGAGAGAAAAAATTCATTTGGTGCTTGACTGCACTTCATATTCCTTTACTCAGAATATAATTTTATGTACGTAATTTTTATGTATATGCTTGTTCCAAAACCGTTGTACTCGACAATAAATCACTAATGAGCAAAGCTTAATCGTTCAGATAATTCCACTCGGCCCTAGAGGTGATATACGCGTACAAAAACAAAACACCAAATTGGAGTTGTACTAGGTAGTGAAAGAAATTCACCATATGCGAACGCGTGATGAGTTCATTGCTGAGGAGGGTGGGGTCAACGTAGGGAAGCAAAGATCGTGAACACTGTAGTTCACTGTTTACTGGTATCGCCTGCAAATGTAAGCTTAGAAACGAACAATAAGAACAGATATTATTTTCTAATTCTTAACTAGACGCTGATCGTCTCAGCTACTATCTTTTAGTCAAACATTCTATGCAACGGAATTGGAATCTATGTTCTCCCAGTCTGTGGAGTTTATGTAGCAGACTTTAAACTACAGTATACTCCTGATTACCCATGCTCTGGTTAACAGAGGCTTCTGATTAACACGGCGCCATCAAACTACAACCAAATAATTCACTGAATAAGAGAAAACGAGTATGTACGTTCGTTGTTCTAGTTGAAGCGAGCCAGCGTGTGAGATTGGCAATGCAGACACTGATTCTAAGAATTCTAAGGTTCGCTCCCGAAATCGACAGATAATCATGTGATTCGTTCGTTAAACATTACGAATGTCGTTTATCGATCGTCATTTCCACTCCGCAAGTTTCAAGTTTCCCACTTCAAAGTTTTTAGTAGTCTGTGAGTCCTATGAACATATTTCTTAATTCATTTAGTGTTTAGTAATTTTTATTTTTAATTTTTCAAGTTATCACCGATCATTATCCTAGTTGATCAATAACCGAGACTTGTATATCTTCTATTTATCTCACATAATTATACGCCTATTATGCAAAGCTCACAGTATTATCAGTGAACTGCATAATCGTAATATTTACAAAACTCATGATTTTCGTTCAGAAAGAAATTTTAGCATTCTACTTACGCAATTTCTTGATTTTTTTCTTTAAATGAAAGTGTGTTACACTTGCTGTTATCAACCCGTTTTATAATAAAAGCATTAAAATTTAATGTCTTAAAATTGATAAAATGAATACTTTTCTTCATCATGTAATTTTCAAGACCTAGTACACTCCATGTAGTTTGTCTCGGTAGTTTTATTTTGTAAGTTGCAATAGCTCTATCGATAGCAGTCAACGTTCCATAGCAAGTTTAAAGATTAATGGGTGTTTTAAGCGAGGAGATTAGTAAGCTAATGTCAATGTCTAGCAAGCGTCTGGCATGTGTCTTTACAAAAAATGTTGACTGATTATAATATCATGTGATGCATTACGTTTAAGTTACAGTAGACAACAGAATTGTCTGTGGTAGTCCTCAAAATACGAATACAGGTCTTGGTACATACAAAACGTTCCTATAACATTTTCAGAAAGTATGTTTGTAACTGTGTTTATAGTGAACAGTGAATATATTGTTCCAGAATTTGTAAATGTCTCAATTCGTTAGTCTTGAAAAATACCTACCGCACGACTTGAGACAATATTTTTGAGATTTTGTATTTTCAACGTCAGCCTTATACAGTACTTTCCTGTTGTAACTTTTTAACAGATCTATCTTTTTGTGCGATGGAATCGCACGGGTTTGGCTAGTATCACATGCTGTTTGAAAGGTTCTCGTTGTTCTCTAGACTTAAATTCTGTCGTCACTGCCGCGCGTGGCAGCGACACACACACACACACACACACACACATACACACACAGACGCTACGGGGTTGGATGTTCCCGGTGAATCTTCCTCCCCGGCGCGCAGGCAATCTCGTAAACAGAGGCACGCCCACACGCGAGGCCTGTGGGGCCGCGACGGCCGAGGCCTGGAAAGAAACCCCTCAATCCTTCCTCTGGAAGAGCCATTACCGGCCCCCCGGAGCGCGGGCCGAGATCCAGCGATAATCAAATATTCACAACACATCGATCTCTTCTATTCGCGGAAGCGCTAATAAAGGAGCCACCGACAGCGTCGGCAGTTCCCCGCCCGCCCGCCCCCGCGCCGCCCGCCCACCGGCGTTACGAGAAAACCGCGCTCACATTTACGCCCAAGGCGCGCGTAAATAGTGGCCAGACCCGAATGCGGGGCGGGGCCGGAGGTGGTGGGGTGGTAAAGGAGTGGGGAGGCCAGAAAAGTAAGGGAGGAGGATTAAACTGAGCGGCGAGAGCAAGTGACGCAGACATCGCCCGGAATGGGAAGAGGAGGAGGAGGAGCGAGGAGGAGAGGAGGAGGAGGGGAGGAGGAGGAGGAGGAGGAGGCGCGGTGGCGTGGCGGAGGCGGAGGTGGAGGCGGAGGCGGAGGTGGAGGCGGAGGCGGTTGGCGGTGTGCGGTGGCGTGGCGGGTGCGGTGCGGTGGCTGTGGCAGGTGGCTAGGACAGTAGTGGAGCGGTGGCGGAAGATGAGAAATATGCAAGAGTGCGGGAAGGAGAGGCAGAACACATGAAGGAGGAAGTAGAAGACGTTGCGGGACGAGATGGAGGTGGCTGCGATAGCGGCGGAAGTGGCCGAGGAGGTAGTGGTGGCGGTGTGAAGAAAGAAGGCGTACAGTGGGCGCAGCGGAGAGGTGAAATGGCTATGGAGGTAGTAAGTAGCGGATAGCACTGGCGGAGGTAGCAACGTACGTGGAGCGATCGTGCGTAGTGGTAGTTGTAGTGGAGGCGACGGCGGAGGAAATGGGAGGGAGGTGCT